GCAGGAATGTATTTTAGACAAACTTTTTCTCCGCCTTGACTGTAGAATCAGCGCTTTTCTGACCGCCTGATTAACTTAAAGACCTCCTGCTTTTTGTTCCTGTTTTCCGGTCTAGTCCTTTCCTTCCAGTCCGGTCTGCTCAGAGCGTCCCCGGCCTTCCCCCGTCCCTGCGCAGCCACAGCATCGCTCCAGCCCAGCCACCAACGTGCCTTTCTTTATCCATCCTAATGAAATCCAAAGCCCTTCCGCTCGACGCGGTACCAGATGAAAATCACCTGTAAGTGTTGGAAGCGCTAACGCCTCCAGCGCGTCCCCCAGACTGCGGCCCGTGGCACTGGTGTTCTCCTTCCCGCGCGCTGCGGACGGAGGAGGAGGAAGGGATGCGGTTTCTCAGCCCGTCCCCCTCCTGGCGGGGCTGGTCCTTGCTGTGAAACGAGTGATGGTGTCCTCAAAGCCGGCCACCCTCCCCGATCGCAGAATGACCTGTTGGTCCCAAATGCAGACCCCAAAACGCTGGAACGGGTTCGACCTTTCACGTGTGCCCCCCTGGCCTGGTAGTGCGCCCTGGGGTATTTTAAGCCCTATCGCACGTACGGTTGTATCTTGCGATGACCTGAGGAGCCCTGGGTTGTGTCCAGCTACTCAATAGCCAGCTCCATATTTGATTTTTGAATTAATCATTCTCTGGAAGTAATTAGTCATGTGGTAATTAAATATACAGTAGTAATAATGCGCTTTTACTGCGGCAGTTCAGAATTTGATTGGTTTTTTTTTTTCTAATATTATCTGTTTCGGTTTTGAGCTCTCAGCGAGAGCTGCCAGGGGGTGAGGACCGGTCTCGGCCTCATTCAGCACCGGTGTGACCCGTGTGCTGGGTCCTGCGCAGCCCCGGCATGGGCGAATCTCCCTGTCCCCAGAAAAGCAGCCTGAGTGCACAAGGCAAACACAAGGCTGGTATTTCTGCGGCCACCTAAAGTGAGGCACGAACTGTTCTCAGACTTGTAATTCTGGAGCAAAAAGGGCGGCTAGCCTCCTTCCTCTGTCTACGCGTTAGTCTGTGGTGCACAAAGGACCTCTTGGGCTGATAATAAGGTACTTCTGCAGGATAAGCTGTTAACACCAGTGTCTTTAGAGAGTTAGCTGTGACTTTAACTTTTTTTGGTAACAGGGTTAAAGGCTTGAGTGAAAAATACCTTGATATTTTCAGCTTTACAGGCTGAGAAGCAAAAATATTAGCTAGACCAGACCTGTAGCTCCTACAACTAATGCAATTGCTCTTCTTGGAAGAGAAGCTAGCTCGGGATAGATTTCCCCCCAACTTATTCACACTCTTAGGAGGAATTTGCAGTATCTATCTCCTCGTTATAGATTCGCTTTATAATCGGTTTACATGGTCTCTTATAATAGTGCATCAGTTAACAGCCATCTGTATTCAAGTGGGGTTGGCAGCTCTGCTCCTCAGAAGGGAGATGAAAATCATAATGATTCCAACTAAAAATACATTTCAGAAGGAACCCAGCTTGCAGTGCCTGCCTGGATTAGCGCCTTGGCATTTTGCCCACTGCAACGATGGCCTGGCCCTCCGGGAGAGCTGGGTTCCCTCGGTTCGGGACGTCTCCCTTGTTCCTGCACAGGAGACACCGCAAAGCAGTTCCTTCCCGGCTGCGGCGGCTCGTGGCCGTTTCTCCTGTGCTCCCGCTCACCTGGGGTTTATCACGGGCTGCTGGGCCCAGAGCTTCCTCGGAGGCCGGAGGTCCCGGAGCCGGAGAGCTGGGCAGGGGAATGCAAGGTCCAATCCTGCCAGTCTCCCTGCTCTTTCACCCAGGACCAGGCGAAATGGGGCGCACATGTCTGTGCGGGGCTTTATCCTCTCCCCGGGGGGCTTGAACCTCTCCTGCCTCTTCCGCAGTAGCCCTGGGGCGCTGATGCTGACAGGGGCGCTGGTGCTTGCGGGCCTCTTCTCCATCGTCTACTTTGTAAGCGAAGGGAGCCGCTTCCAGGACCCTCTTTTCTGCGGTGAGTCCTCCACGGGGTCCCCGGGTGCTCCATCCGCCGTTGGCCCTGGGAGCGGAGGTTGGGGATTTCTGGGCCTTTCCCCGCTGGGCACATCGGACCTGGCTCAGAGCTGAGCTGGTCCCTGGCGCTCTCGGCCTGCAGTGTTTGTGGTGTTCTCCTTCACCTCCGTCATCGACCTGATCATCTCGCTGGAGGAGGATGGCTACATTTCTGGCTTCATGGAGATCTACGTGAGGGAGGTACTGTGTTTTCCGACCTCGGGATCTCGCACGCCGCAGCCTTGCAGCGAGCAGCTCTGGGCACCCGTCAAGCGCAGATGCACCTCCTGCCCCTGGAGTCCCTGGAGCCACTTGTGCCCCTCGGCAGAGCAGCCGAACGGAGCAGTCCTGGCTCCCGCAGGGGCGAACGGGAGAGCAGCTCCGTCCCTCCGTCCCCAGCGGGGCACGGGGGTGGCTGGGGGAAGGTGCTCGACCCCCCAGCAGCTCTATGATTTGAGCCTTTCTGACGGGCAGGGCGAGCCGTACCTGCGCACGGCACACGGCATCATGATCTGTTACTGGGACGGCATCATCCACTACGGTCTCTACCTCGCCATGATCGCAGCCATGAGCCAAAGGTGAGGGGCTCAGGGGCAGGGTGGCGAGGTGCAGCTGGCCCCAGGATGGCCTGGTGTTAAGGCCGGGGAGCTCCAGCAGTCTCGCGAGGTGCCCGATCTTCAGAGCTGGGGCTAAAAGCCACCAGACTCTCCTGCAAGACCGAGCTCTTGGGAGACTTCACGGTGACGCTGGGCTGCTGCACCGTCCCAGCGTCTCCAGGGTCGCAGCATCTCCACAGAGCCGGTGTTTGGAGCTGGGCGGGCAGGAGGGGGCAGCACAAGGGGAGCTTGGAGGGGAAGGGAAGCTCTGAGCCTTGCAGGTGTCTGACCTTCGCTGTCTCTGCAGAAAGAGCTACAGGAACCTGGGTCTCTTCTGGCTGGGCTCTCTGATGATGAGCATCGTCGTGTTCCTGCTTGGGAACCTGATAGGTATGGGGATGCAAGGGGACCAGCTGCCAGCGCGCCTGGGGGCTCTGCTCCTCAGCAGAAGGGGACCCCCAGCCCTCGCTGATCCGTCCAGTCTGCCTGTGTCCCCCAGCCCGTCCAGAGGTGCTCCCTGAGCAAACGAGTTTATCCCAGTCAGTTGCCCTCGTGGGCAGTGGAGGGCATGAGGCCAAGCGTGTCTTTGCCCAGGCCCTGCACGGGGAGCGGATGCGGCGCTGGGAGCACCCTGATTTTGGGGCAACCGGCAGGTACCAGTGTTGGGCACTGGCTGCTCTGCGGTACCTAACCCTGTGCTCTTCCTCCCCAGGGAAGTACAGCTCCGATATCAGCCCGGCCTTCCTGCTCAACATGCCCTATGTCCTGATCCCCATCTGGGCTGGGGTGAGGCTCTTCCACCAGCCCAAGGCTCTGCCGGGCCTCACTGCTGATAAGGTGAGCAAGGCCGTGGGCTGGGCGCCTTGGTTGGGGCAGGAACATCGAGCAGGAGCTGAGCGGGGAGCAACTGGGGAGCCTTCAGCAGTCCCCTTCGTGGGGCTGGGCCTGGCAGCTTCGGTCACGGGGAAAGCAGCAGCAAACGTGGCCTTTTCCATCTCCCAGATTGCCGAGGAACAGCACAAGGGTCTGCATCAGCGGCCCCAGGACTTGGGCCTCGTCCTGTTCTTGATCCTAGCTGCAGCTTTCACCTTCTTCAGAGGGTTGGTGAGTGCTGGGGCCCGGCACCAGCACTGGATGCTCGGGCAACGGTGGGGTGCTGGGATCCCGGGCGGGTGCTCGGGGCTCGGGAGTAAACCTAGGGGAAACTGAGGCTATTACCTGTGTGTTTAAGTTTGCTGGTGTGCATCATCACCACCACCTGTCGCCGCCGCCCGGCGGGAGCCATACCTGCGTGACCCCGTTGCCTACCCAAAAGTGCAGGTGAGCGCGGACGGGGCTGCCCCCGGCGGAGGGGAGGGTTACCCCGCTGGACCCCACGGCGACGGAGCCCGGCCCTAGGCAACTGCCCAAGGGA